GTGCCTCCTGTTATCAGTATTGGACATGCTTGCGCGTAGGTTCCGCCCGTGTCCTCTGGTTCATCTTTCACTGTCAGCCGAGTGATTTAATCGAGCGACGTGTCCAGTTTAATACGTGAAACCCCCCAAGGCATCTGTCACCTGCAGTTGTGAGACAGGGTGGCATGGGCGCCTGCATCAAATTCAGGTCTAGTTACCTTTCGTGCCCATGTACTCCGGTCTTTGGTATTTAAATCTGCTTTTACCCTGGTCTCCCCCAGACGCCCCCTCGCCACACCTGATCCGGGACTGGTTTTACAACCCTCCTCCACCAAATTTTGCGCTAACGTGAAGCCGGCAGAGGTGCAGGGTAATTAATAAACCATCTGTCAGACAGATAGCATTGCGCTGGCTGGCCTCTTTGTTGCCCTGGGGATGGTCTCCCACTCCCTGCAAAGTGGCCTTAAATTGCCTGTCCAGGCTCATCTGCTCAGGGGCTCGGAGAACCCTGCAGCCAGAGAGGCTCTGTCCTGACTCCTGACCCGTCAGCCACACAGGATCCTGCTGTAGTCCAATTAGCTCCCCCAGACTGAGTGGATCTGTCCGGCTTTCAGCGGAGCATCTGTGGCAGAGCTCTCAGCTTGAACAAGTGACGGCACTTTCATGAGGCGCTAAAAGCTTACAGACAAAGAGAGGGCCACTGAGGGTTTGGTTGCTTGCGGCCAAGTGTTCCACCGGTCTCAACTATCCATTTATTGAGAAGCCAGGGTGTCGGCTGTATAGCTTGTTCCAGACCCCCGCAACCCTTTGTGTAAAGAAGCCCTCACCGCTCCCCAGTTGTAAATGCACTTTCCCATTGCTTAAACTCCTGTCCTGCGGGTGAGTTTTCACCGGCGAAAGCTGTTTTGTAGTTCACAGCAGCATTTTTCTCCTATTGCTACTGTTACTCTGAGTTACCATATTCATGAGCATAAATGGCATCGGAATTACAATTATTGAAAGCAGGGGAGTAAGGGGAGCATGTTCCAAGACATTTGAAATCAATATTTGCAAACCTCCCCAGAGACTTTTTTTTTGGACTGAGGAATGCATGTTTTGTCTGGGCTGGAGTGTGTGAAATCTGAGTGGCACGAGAGAGAGAGTGTGTGTGTGTGTAGTGGGGCAATGCTGCCTGTGGCTCATTTTTCACAGCCTGGGGGAGATCAGGACCTCTGGTGGGGGGAGTGGGACCGTCTGGGGGGGTGGTCTCCGCTCTGCTGTGGCCTCAGCACTGTTGCTGAGACGCATCACTGCTTTCACACGGAGTTCAGGGGTAAAATACCCATATGCCACTGCTTATAGGAGCTGTTAGGCAGACACATCACACCTTGTTTCTGGGACGCAGCCCTGCTGAGTAACCATGTGAGAGGGTAAGAAGATACTGCGATTGTTCTCCGAGTTCAGGGAGTTCTGCCGCAAATCACTAAGGCGAGGCATCAAGCAGTCATGTCTTTGCGGTCACACCTGTCAATTTTTTTTTTTTCTTTTTTGCGTTTTGTTTTTTTTCTCTTTTTTTTTTTCGTTTTGTTGCCGGGATTGGTTGCTTGCCGGCGTTAACTTTGGACTTGAGGGGTTTTTGGTTGTTGTGTTTGTAAGAAACAGCAAAAAAGTGCCTTGCCCTCAAAATGCCCCCTAGCTTGCCTGCCTGGAAGAGTTGTGAGAGCGCAGTGTGAAGGAACCGATCTCTCCCCCTGTCTTCCAGCACGTACAACTTTGCAGCCGATGGCTTCCAGAGCCCAGCAGGGGGCGCCACGCTCTGCTTGGGGTCGGGGGTTCACGGCGGGGTCGACTGGATGAGGAAGCTGGCGTTCCGGTACCGCCGAGTCAAGGAAGTCTACAACACCTACAAGAACAACGTAGGAGGCAAGTCCAGGGAGGAAAGCAGGAGCAAACCCATACGGAGAATAAAAACAAAAGCAGAGGAAGCGGACTGCCTTCTCTGTCCTGAGCTGTGGGGTGGGGAGCTGCCTGACACACAGTTCACGCCTTCCATGTTGACAGGCATCCCATTGGTCGGCTGGTGCTGTCAGTCAAGGGTCTGTTGTCTTGTGATTGGCAGGGTTGCTGGGCAGCCCCAAACGGGAGGAGTGGCTTCAGCTGCGGAGGGAGATGGAGGTGCTGACCGACCTGTGGCTGACCCACGCGCTGAAGGCCCTGGCCCTCATCAACTCCAGGTGAACGAGGAGCGCCAGAGCGCCTGTTTACTGCTGTGCAGCTTGCACTTTTCAGTACTGTCCAGCAGGGGGTGTTATGGAGTTCTCCAGTACGATTCTGGGTAGCAAGGCTGTTCCTTGCAAGACGCACATATACACCTCCTGTTTCAGTGGTGAAATGTAGCGGTAGTGCTGTATTTGAATGTTGCTGCATAATGGCTCCACAGCCCTGTTTAGACAGCCCTGCTTTCGAGCACTTCGAGACAGCCGGAGCCAATTAATACTCACATTCCCATGATTCATAGCGCCATCACCCTGAAAGGAGCTCCTTGTAAGATCCGAATTCTGATTGCGTCCTCTAGGCCGAACTGTGTGAATGTGCTGGTGACCACGACCCAGCTGATCCCAGCGATATCCAAGGTCCTGCTGTACGGGCTGGGCACAGCCTTCCCCATAGAGAACATCTACAGTGCTACCAAGACAGGTGAGGCTCGGGGGGTGGGGGGTCAGAGGGCAGATGGGGGTCAGCTCAAGAAGTCCCCCCCTGGGCACCAGACAGGAGTGATCATTTAAAGACAGCTGTGCTGGACCCCCGCTGGGTCTGGGTTTTCAGTCAAGGATGGGTGTGTTACCGCCACGCTCCGTCTGTGTCCCCAGGGAAGGACAGCTGTTTCGAGCGAGTGGCCCAGAGGTTTGGCCGCAGAGCGGTGTACGTCGTCGTGGGGGACGGCGTGGAGGAGGAGACGGCTGCGAAGAAGGTAGAGTCCACCCCTTGCAGGACGGCCCCACTGTGCCTCAGCTGTGAAAAATAAGAAAGTGAATTTGTCCCTCAGTTGCAGTTTATGGCTGAGCTGTAGGATGTATTACTTCAATGTTACCCGTGTGGCCAGTGATAATCCCCGGTCTCTGCCTTTCTCTCCCAGAGAAATATGCCCTTTTGGAGGGTATCCTGCAGAGCTGACCTGGAGGCTCTGAGCCACGCACTGGAGCTCGACTACCTCTAGGGGGCAGTGGCTCCTGTGAATCCTCCTTCACTCGTGCTCTGGAGCTCTGGGGATCCCTGGCCCTCAGTTTCAAGAACAGCACGGACCACTCCCTCTACCAGCAGCACATCCGCTTAAAACAATATGAAATGTTGCGAGTCTTCATTACAGATCCTGTCAAATGAGTGTGGTAGAAGAGAGGGTGTTAATTCTTAACTTGGCAGGAGGTTTTTCTCATCTTTGATTACGGCAAAGTTGCACTTCGACAAGAACCAAAGGCGAGAGAGAACTGTGTCGTTGGGGATCCGTATTGGAGAGGGAACTTTGTTTCAATGTTTGTTTAACACGGGAGGGTTGGAAGGAGAAAATCCCGCAGGTCTGGGCGTTGTGACCGATGTCATCATTGATGCGAACATCTGGGTCGCAGGTTCGAAACCCCTCCCCCCTGCCGTGTGCCGACGGACAGCTTCACAGGATTGGTAGCTTCAGGAAGCTTGCTCTGGTGGGCAGTGGACACCTGTAGTCGGATTGTCTCGACCCTTTATCGCGCAGTGGTCTGTGGGCGAGTCCACATGCAGCCATCGAAATGAACGATGCCTCAGCTTGGAAACGACCCGGATAGACTGCACAATCGCTTCCTGATTCCTTCTATAGAGATCTTTGTTGTTGTTTTTTTAAATCGTGCACAATAAATCTGGAAAAATGAATTGGAGTAAAGAGAAGGTGTCTTGCCAGTCTCAGTTTTCCAGGATGTCCTCTTCTGTGGACAGACTTAAATAGAGAAAAAGGACACTGACAGGGACACAAACGTGCCTCTCAGCAAGAATTAGCCATATGGACACGCTCTGTGGTTCAGATATTTGGGAACTGGGAAAATTGTTGAATCAGTTTGAAACCTGTTGATTAATTTATACTCAAAAAAGGGACGTGAGATACTGATCAATTGCACAATTATTTCATGGCCTTCTTTTTCCACAGCAGCACAGGAATCACTGCTAATTTATTTTTGGAGGTGGGGGGTTGCTTTTTTTGCTGGATGTTTGTGTTTTTTTCTGATTTTCATATGGCTGTACTTGGAAATCCACTGTTCATTCAAAGGCATCTCTCTGAATGAAAGAAAAGAAGAATTGTGGTGGTGTGTATGGGTCAGGGTTCAGGTCAGTGAAGCACCTGAAATACTGGAGGTTTTCAGTTTAATGCTAATAGAGGCCTTTTCCCTTAACTAAAGTACTGATGCCCATAGATCTATGCAAGATATATTATATGATATCAAAATGGTCAGGGCATCTTCCCTGAAATCAAGAAACGCTTAAGGTGAGATTTAACTTCAGTATATTTTATTTTTTCATCTTAATTTAAGATGGAAAAATTAAGATGAATACTGAATTTAAGGTGTTTTATTCAGACTGCCCCTTTACAGGGTGAGAAGCTCTTGCAATGGGTTTTAATTGAAAGATAGTTGCAAGTGGCGTCCGAGCAGGGGATCGTGACCCCCCAGCAAAACGCGCCACCTCCTCGCTCGCGTGGAGACAGGGAGACACCCGGTCCACGCGCGTCCTCCAGGGCTCGCTGTTAATTCTAGACTGGCCAGGACTCAAGTCGCGTATCTTGACAGCAAGCCGCAGTGGAGGAGGTGGAAAACACTGTCCGTAGTGTCCCCAGTGCCCTGCAAGGCTCTTTCACTGTAGGGGTGGAGCAGCCCCTTGTAGCTCGAACCCAGGCCGGGACAGCCTGTCTCTATTCCTAGACCCTGCTAGAAAATCCGTCTCCCAGCAGTCTTCCTGCATAGCACAGGATGCAGAATGAAAAAGAGCACCCCTGGGCGTCAGCCGGTTCAATGGCCACTGCAATACAGCGTCAATGTCCTTCTTGTTGTAGCATCCTTACATTTATACTACATTGATCCTAAAGGGCACAAGACCTTTAAACCTCCAAATGTTATGGGACAACAGTGGCTTTCTCAATTTAAAAAGGCCTTATCGCTAAACCAAGTGCTCCTTCTCCTAGCCCTGAGTCATTCATGGAAACTGTCTGCCAGCGACTGGCATTCTGCTTTTTTTCAATAAGAAAAGTAAGGGCTGTAGAGTCACTGAGAAGGGAATCGTAATGGTCAGTCTCAGTGAGGGCTTATTTGTGTATATTTTGTTGTATTTTCTTTCTTCTGTTTTGTGTTTAAGGATTTTTTATACATATTCTGTACATATATAAATCTCTAATAAACTGGTATGGGGTGTTCCTGGACTTTGCATGTGTCTGTTACACTGTGCCTTCCTCTGCCTTAGCCATGATCTGTATATACTTTTGTTTTGTGATTGTGACACTCATAGAATAAAACGATTAATTTAACAAACCTGCTCTGCGCTGACATCTCATTCTTGAATCCACTTCAGCTTTGATAGACGGACTGATCCTTTTTTTTAGCTCCTTTGAGATTTGTTCTTGCAGTATGACCTCATAAATCAAAGTTACTTGATCCTTTTTCTGAAATGTTGCACTACAGACCGTGAACAATATAATATATATATCTCTCAATATGTGTATCTATTCATGCATGCATGAATATATATATATTAGAAATATAAAATGAAAAAAGTTTAATTTAAAGAATATCTACATGGATTTTAAAACATGGCTGCTAAACTGGTTTATTACCTCCCTCACACATGCCTGACAGTCAAGGATTCTGTACTCATCTCTGGCGCCCTCTGCAGGCCAGCATGCTCTCCTCCTGGGCCTGGATGACGGCAGCAGCCCAGGCTCATGGGCACAGTGCTCGGGAAAACAAGGATCACTCCCAAGGGGAGCCGGCAGGAGCCTCCCTCAACACCAGCTCGCATGCCGCACGCCCCCGCCCCCCCAGACCGCGCTGGGCACGCTGCCCTCCCCACCAGCACCAGCACCAGAGTGAAGCCGCACCGCTCGTCGACAGCTGGGCGGAGAGAGCCCTGGTGAGGCGGTCCAGAAACAGCAAGACCCAGAAGCGCCCGACCCAAATTAAAACCACGGATCCAGGCGAGGGTGGAATTCCGCAGCATCCACCAGGCCGTTACAGTACGGAGGGAAGGCACGAGGTCGGGGGGGGAGGGAGATCTGGAAGAGAACGGGGTCCCCGAGAGGCTGACGGGCTGAGATGTCTGAAAGGCGGAGATGCCCCGCCACTGCATTCAGAGAGCGCTTTTGGTTCCGGCCAAAAGAAAACACGTGCTGCTCCGTTCTTTTCGTTAGCGCTCTTAACGCAGGTGGGCGCAGGAAATGTTCCTTTCGAAAGGCCTTGTGAAACCGTGTGCTTCACTCTAAGGCGCGGGGTATAGGCATACACCTATAGGGGGTGGAGCACAGGTGCTCACGGATGAGGGGTGGAGGTAAATAAACCTTTTCTTGTTCCTTTGCAGCCTGCGCATGGTGACGCGGCTCCCCACATGAACTACTTCAGGTGATAGATTAGTAGGGTATCAGTCACGATGTTTGATGCCCATCTGCGTTCATAAACAAATTACAGCACATAAATACCAAAAGACAGGTTATTGTACTGTATACCTGCCTTCTAAAAGTGATCTCTTACGATGTGCCTATTCTGAATAATTTCCCTTCCCTGGAGCGTCAGGGATTTTTAATTTTGTAGGTCCCTTTATTTAATTTAATGGTATATTTTTCTATCGACGAACTTCTATTTTTTATCGCATGTTTCTGTATTATACCCTTTATCTGTAGTGCACTGTCTAGGACATTACTAGACCACATCCTACACAAAGAATCGCGATTATTATTCATCGCGATTTTTGCCTTTCTGTGCCTTGGAAATGAAATCGTGAAATTCCTTCGCCGAGTCGAGCACCGCGTCACCGTGACCTGGAGGGGCGTGCGGGCAGGGACCGGGGCGCGCCACGGGGTCTCGCCGTCTGCTCTCCAGTCCCTGGGGTCAGGGGGTCAGCTCCGCCAGCCCAGGGGCCATTAATCTGTCTGGGACCCCTCTGAAGTCGGGGCGACAGCGCCGAGCGTTTGATCAGCTGCTGCAGTGAGCGGGGAGGGGAACAGACAGCACTGCGATTGACCGAGTGCTCTGTCACGCTACACTAATAATACCAGCGCTAACGGCGGCTTTACTGCAACTGCTCTGCTCCTGCAATTATCAGCACTTTTTCCCGTCCCCTTACTTTAACTTCTGGAATTGTTATTACTCCTGAAGAGCGCTACTCCTCTTGACATGGTTCTACTGCAATTCAGGCTCTTTCTTTTCTTCCTGTTACTATTACAAAAGAATAACATTTTTTGTTTGAAATCCCTCACCCCCCAAAAAACAAATAACTCTACCTGTTAGCGCCATTAGACTGCAACTGCTTGACAGCAGGATCTGCGCCTGTGGCTGGAAGGTTGCCGGTTCAACTCCCGCGGCCGGCAGAGGAATC